GAGAAACTCATGGCCATAAATCCTAACTTTACAATGACCTCAGTAGAGGAGTTAGTCCCATTGATCTTTCCTTCTTGATGTATTACTTAATTGGCTCTCTTTGTGTCCATCTATTTATTCTCAGAGTTGGTATACTTGTTGTTCTACAAAGTTACTTGATTGTTCATTAAAGGCAATTCAAAGAAACTCCGTGACCTTGCTGTGTTATTGGTTCACGTTTCACTGATCATCACTAACTACTATCTAACTCTTTCATGTGGCTAGAATAGATTAAGTGGGAGGAAGCAATGTGAGATGAAGCTGGAGAAGCAAGTAGGGTCTGTGTCATAGAGGTCTGAATGACAGCTTCAACTTTTCTCTGTAGACATTGTGTAGCCACTAGAAAGTGGGGATATGATTATTCTCTCCATTGTGTCCCTTTATTCCTATCTCTAACTGCTGACTCTTCACATTCTATCAGCAATCTGTTGTGTCATATGCTTTGGGAGACTCTAAGCTCCTGAAATTCCATGTGGGTGATAGGAAAATGTAATTGTAGACAGTCCTGAATTCAAATCCTACCTCTTTAACTTACTAAGCATCCTTGAGCAAGTTTTTTAACCTCTCTGAACCTTGGGTTTCTTATCTAAAAAATGGGGATAATCACAATACCTACCTCAAAGGATAGTTATGAAGATAAAAGCAATAGAAGTGTTCAGCATGGTGCCTGCATGCATTAGTCCTCAGGTAAGGCAGTTCCTGTTATTCATCCTTGAATACCCAAGGCTTAACATAGAATGTGTACATTTTGAGGGYTCTGCTATAACAGAGAAAGAGACAAAAATTATTGACAGGGAGAACAAACTAGACATAATAAATGGAGAGCCTTCCCACTACAAGAGTCAGTTTTGTTTTCACTAGGTACAAATTTTTTCCTAATATCCCAAGAATGTAAAAAAGTCTTCTATGGTAGATTTTAAATATGTCAACAAATTCCTTGCTATTCCTCCACCCTTCAAGTGGTGGAGTCTAACTGCCCTTTCCATGACTGTGGATTGGATTTAGTAAGTGGCTTCTACTAAATGATGCTAAAGTGTTGATGTGTACCTGACTCTACATCATGAAAAACATGGCAACTTGCTTCTTTCTCATTCTTTTTGTTTATTTTCTTTTATACATGGGTACAATATTTTTGTTATGTGGTGCTGAGGATCGAACCTAGTGCCTCACATGTGCGAGGCAAGCACTCTGCCAGTGAGCCACAACCTCTGCCCTCTTGCTCATTCTTGAATCTATATCTGGCAGCAGCCAATTGCTATGTCCCCGAAGGACAACCAAGCACCCAGGGAAAATCCCAGATGAATAGGAACTGAGGCCTTTTGCTGGCCTTGGAAGTGGATACTTCAGCTCCAGTCACATCTTCAGTTGGCTACAGCCTCTGATGTCATCCTGGCTGGAATCTCAGGAAAGATCCTGAGCCAGAGCCACCCAACTAAGCCACTCTTGAGCTCCTGATCACAGAAATTGTGATATAATGTTTCTTATTTTAGGTTCTAAGATTGGGGGCAAATTTTTATGTAGCAATAAATAAATACTATAACATCTAAATGCAATATTGTTTATTTAAAATTTTAAACTTGGAACTTGGCTGTTTCTTTTTGACTTCATTCTCTAAGTGACATTATCAACAATCACCCTGAGGTTAAAAGAAAAAACAACCTTTCATTTATGGGAACAATTATAATCATAGTTTCAGGTTCCAAAAAAATATAAGAATTGAAAATAAAAACAAGTCTCTGGGCACTCAGAACCCACAGAACTGCTGCAATCTGTGAGATAATCAAAATCTGAGCATGTTTTCTCTCAGAGAGAAGCTTGTTAGTGGTCAGGAGAGCTTTCCAGTCACCAGCAATGCCCAGGAACTGGAGCAGAATGGATCAACTTTTTAGAAAGGAAAGTGGCCAGGTCATGTGGCTTAAGAAAAACATCTCCAAATTGTATATTGTTTTATCTGTTCAAATATTCTACCTTGACAACACTAAGGCTGACATAAGGGGTTGGAAATGTGGCTCAGTGGTACAGCACTTGCCTAGCATGTTTGAGGCAATGGGTTCAATTCTCAGTACCACATATAAATAAATAAATAGATAAAATAAAGGTCCATAAACAATTAAAAAAATATTTTAAATTTTTTTTTTTAAAAAAAGGATACACGGGCTGGGGATGTGGCTCAAGCGGTAGTGCGCTCGCCTGGCGTGCATGCGGCCCAGGTTCGATCCTCAGCACCATATACAAATGATGATGTTGTATCCGCCGAGAACTAAGAAAAAATAAATATTAAAATTCTCTCTCTCTCTGTCCCCCTCTCTCTCTCACTCTCTCTTTAAAAAAAATTAAAAAAAATAAAATAAAATAAATAAAAATAAAAAAAGGATACACAATGGTACAGAAGAGAAGACACAGAGATAAATCACACAGAGATTCAGTCATCTGATCCTTGACAAAGTTGCCAAAAAACATACATTGGAGAAAAGACAGCCTTTTTAACAAACAGTGCTGGGTAAACTAGTTATCCATATGTAAAAGAATGAAATTAGACCTTATCTCTCATCCTGCACAAAAGTCTACTCAAAATGGATCAAAGACCTAGGAATTAGATCAGAAACTATACAACTCCTAGAAGAAACTACTGGGACAAAACTCCAATATATAGGCACAGACAACGACTTTCTCAATAGGACTCCTAAAGCTCAGGAAATAATGTCAGAGTTAATAAATAAAAGGAATCAACCCCTTGACTTTAACCTAGTGGGACTTTCAGATTTCTAGTCTGCAGAACTGTTAAGAATCAATTTGTGTTGTTTAAGCTACAGAATTTGTGGTAATTTGTTATAGCAGCAATATAGCAGACACTAATGCAAGATACTTTAAAACATCTAAGAGCCTGGGGGGCATAGCTCCGTAGTAGAGTGCTTGCCTAGCCTACAGGAGGTCCTGGGTTTGATCCCCAGCACTAAAACAAAAAAGGTGGGGCAGGACACATAGCAGACACCAGTAGGCAGTTGGTAGATAAGGATCTACAGGTGAGAGAAGAGGGTAGAGCTTGAGGTATAAATTTGAGCATCATACACATGTTGATGGCAGATGGCTGCGGGGAATATAAATTCATGTTAATACCTACTTGCTGTGCATCTTTGAGAAGAGTATTTAATTTCTCTGACACATTATTGAGCACTTATTCTGTCCTGGTATCATCCCACACAATTTATATACATTCTCTTAATCCTCACAATCACCATTTTTATCTCCTATTTTACAAAAAAAGAAACTGAGGTGGTTTTTTTGTTTTGTTTTGTTTTTGTTTTTAAACTTTGTCCTAGACCACAGACAGCACAAAGTAGAGACAAACTAACTTCAGCCAGGTCCCGTGTCCCATGGTCATGCCTGTAATGCTGGCACCTGGGGAGGTTGAGACGGGAGAATTGCCAAGTTCAAGGCCTGCCTCAGCAACTTTGTGAGACACTGTCTCACAATAAAAATAAAAGGGCTGGGATGTAGCTCAGTGGTAAAGTGCTCTGGGTTCAATCCCTAGTATCAAAATGGAGGTTAAAAAAAAAAAAAGAACTAATTCTATTGCTTTTTGCCTCAGTGCCTATGGCTGAGTACCAGCACCATTGATGCAATCTAGGAGTTTGTTAGGTTTATTGGATTCAAATGTGAATTTTAACAAGATTCCTAGTTATCACATTAAGTGCGGGAAATATTAGACTCTAATATTTGGTATCAGGCTTCCAGAACAGGCTCCACACAGGTAGGTGCTCCGCCATGTCCTAGCTTGGAGTCCTAGCAATATAGATTGGTTTCTACCTCTATCTCTGCTCATGTTATTCTCTACTTCTGTTGTAGGGACACATGAGGCAGGGCACCAAAATAGCAGTTTTATTTGGCTGCAGCCAAGTTCAGAAGATACAGCTTTCGCTGGAATCAACTAATCCCCAGAGTTCAGGTAGTTTCAGAATTTTTATTATGTGGTGCTGAGGACCAAACCCAGTGCCCCACACGTTCTAGTCAAATGCTCTACCACTGGAGCTACAACCCCAGCCCTAGTTTCAGAATTTTATACCCAGCATATAAGAGGAGGGGCTCAGAAGTTCACAGTCTGCAGAAGTTCACATAAAAACAGCTTTTTCTTTTCACTGTTCTGGGCAAGTTAACCCTTCAAGGACAACACCTGAGAACGGGAGGGCTTCTTCTCCCCTTCCTTTCCTCCCCCTGCCAGCTGTTACCATGGAGCCCAATTTCTCATCCTAGAAATGTAGACATCTTTGTGAAGCTCCAGATCAAGGCCAGAAGCTTTGTTAAAAGATTTGTCTTTTTATTATCACATTTTGCATTTGTAAACACACTTCTACAAATTACTACACTGGATAAATGTTTCTGAAAAACTAGTAAAGGGGTGTTCAGCACCTGGAGCGCTTATTTCTTCCAGGCCAGTGGCCAAGTAAAATAAGGCAACATGAAAATAGGAAGTTTACCTACACTGAACTCTTTTGTAGAGACTCTTTTGCTTCTAGTCCTAAAATCCATTATGGTCAAGATTTTGGAGAAGCTTAGTTAAAATTTTCTGTGGAGGAGGGGGTGCCACTACACCTGCATTTTAAATTCTGGTTCTGGGGCCTCTCTACTTATATCTACTGTAACCAACGGATAACAACCGTCTCCTCCACTAGCACTCCGAACTTAGCTCTAAGGCAAGGTAAGATTTTTCTCACCTATTATGCCAAACGCCAGTAAAATCAAGACCTACAGCAGACCAGGGACTGTTTAAGTCGAAGTATAAATTGGAAAATAAAACAAACTGTCGCCGCCAGCGCCCGCGCAGGCGCTGTGGCGTCCTACCCCCCCCCCACCCCCAGCAAGGACTGTGAGGAATACAGTGGGCGGGAAATTTAAAAGCTTGAGTTCTGACCTCTGGGCGGCTAAGCGGATATGCGCGTGCAGGGGCACCGCCCCAGACGGCCTTCTCCGCATGCGCGGAAGGCCGGATGTGGCTCAAATTGATTGAAAGTGCGCGGTGCTGCAGCAATGGCGGCGCTGGGAACCCTAACGGGTAGTGGCAATTGGTTTTCTGCTTTGGCGCTCGGGGTGACTCTCCTCAAATGCCTTCTCATTCCTACCTAGTAAGGACCTGCACTGCCAGGGGCTGGGCGGGAAGGCCCCACGGTGGGTCAGGGCGGGAGGAAAATGTGTGTTATATCCCTGGTTATGAAGAGAGATGTTGGGTCGTGGTCGCCACTCCACCTTTGCTAAGCTTCCCACTTCTGCGGTTGTTACTTAGAACTAGAATATAGCCCTGGCTAGTCCTGTTCAGCCCCGTTGCTGTCTGACTTAGGGCAAGTACTCTGAACTTTTTGAGCTTCAAGGTCCTCATCCTCAATATGCAAATAAGTACATCCACCTCCACCATTCATTAAACAGGTATTATCAGCTGCCATGGGGCGCCAGCTCTGTTCTAAATCCTGGGGATGCGGTGACGTGGAGTTGGTTGGGGCAGACGAACAGGAAAGTTTCAGGTTGTGGTAAGATATATGAAKGATGAGGCCGCTGCGCCCGCCTGAAACCCAGCGGCTGGGGAAGCTGAGGCTGGAGGATCCCGAGTTCAAAGCCAGCCTCAGCAAGTTTGCGAGGCCCTAAGCAACTCAGCGAGACCCTTCCTAAATAAAATACAAAAAAAAAAAAAAAAGGCTGGGGGTGTGGCTCAGTGGTTAAGTGCCTCTGGGTTCAATCCCTGGCACAAAAACAAAACAAAAACCGTATATCAATTGTATAAATTAGTGGGTTTCACTGACAGTCTCATACACGTAAAAATTGTGCTTTGGTCGTATCCATCCGAGGTGATCTTTGAGTTAAAATCCCAAGTATGAAAAAGAGTAATGTGAAAAAAAGTTCAGAAATGAGAAAGGGTAGGTCTTTCCTACAACAGGAAAGAATTCTGGATACCCTGAACAGAAAGTAACCTGTTGTGTCTAAATAGCAGTTAAGGAGGATAAGTGGTGCAGGAAAAGTAGACATTAGCCAGATCACACAGTTAAGAAAACCATAGTTAGACTGTTGTATACAGAAAAGTTGTTTGCTGGGTCAAGACTGAAAGCATCGGAAGGGGAAACTACTACCAAATGTGGTATCTATACAACAGGTGCTCAGTATCAACATTTATTAACATTAGTTTCTGCCTTCCCTTTATCCACTTTCCTGATTTTTTTTTTCCCCTCATCCTTTTCCTCACTGCTCCTCAGGGTCTCCCACTTCCTAGTTTTAGGGTTTGCTTTATTGGTATCATTTTGATTTGAGCTCTTGATAATCTCTTGTTGGGTATGAAGAACTATATGTATAGAATATCCATACTTATATATGTAATTATATAAGAATTGCAGTATGGCAAAGTAACTTACAGGGGTATTGGTCACATGAAAGCAAATAAGAAACATCTTTCCATCTTACAAGCAAATTGGAAAGATCTTGCTAAAATATAAGAAATTCCTTTCATAATAAAATGAAAGGGTTTTTTGTTTTTTTGCTTTGCTTTTTAAACTATAGGTCTGTGTGTATAAGGTCATATTTCTTGTTTTAGTTACTTCAGCCTAGAAATGTATCTTGAGTACTGCTGTAGGTCAAGGATTAAGAGTATTTGTTGTAGGAGAGCTTCCTAAATGAACTTTGAGTATTCACTCTGGCTATTTACTTATTTGTTTGTTTTTGTGACGCTGGGGATTGAACCAGGGCCTTGTGCATACAAGGCAAGCACTCTATCAACTGAGCTATATATTTTTTTATTCTAATTAGTTATACATGACAGTAGAATGCATTTTGACATATCATACATAAATGGAGTATAACTTCTCATTCTTCTGGTTGTACATAATATAGAGTTAGACTGGTTGTGTGGTCATATATGTACATCTGGTAATAATGTCCAATTCCTTCTACTATCTTTCATACCCCCATATTCCCTCCCTTCCCTTCACTCCTCTCTGACTAATCCAAAGTATCTCTGTTCTTCACTAGCCACCCACTTATTGTGAATTAGCATCCACATATCGGAGAAAACATTTGGCTTTTGGTACTTTGGGCTTGGTTTATTTTGCCTAGCATGATATTCTCCAGCTCCATCCATTTACCTGCAAATGCCATAATTTCATTCTTCTTTAAGGTCAAATAATATTCCTGTGTGTATATATACCACATTTTCTTTATCCATTCATCAGTTGAAGGGCATCTAGCTTGGCTATTGTGAATTGAGCTGCTATAAACATTGATATAGCTGCGTCACTGAAGTCTGCTGATTTTGAGTGTTTTGGATATAAACTGAGGAGTGGGATAACTGGGTCAAATGGTGGTTCCATTCCAAGTTTTCTGAGGAATCTCCATTGCTTTCCATAGTGGTTACACCAATTTGCATTCCCACCAGCAATGTATGTATCCTTGCCAACATTTATGGTTGCTTGTATTCTTGATAATTGTCACTTCAGCCATTTATTAATCTTTACATTGCAGCCAAAGTACAATCATGTACCATAAAATGACATTGTTTTGTTCAAATGGACCACATATTATACAACTGTAACCCTGTAAAATTATATCATCTACATTGTGACCATCTTAGTTTATATGTGTACTTTCTATGATGTTTGCACAACTACAAATTGCCAAAGGATACGTTTCTCATCCTTGTTGTTAAGGGGTCCATGACTATAGTTACTTGCTATTTGGCATTATGTCTCCAATCTTGGGTTTTTCATTTTTTTCCAAATACCTTTTCAGTAAGTTAAAATTACTTTTGTTCTTCTTAGTTTCTTTGATAAATAGAAAAAAGGTGTATGGTTTCGGGATATAGCTCAGTTGGTAGAGTGCTTGCCTTGCATGCACAAGGCCCTCAGTTCAATCCTCAGCACCACACACACACACACACACAAAAAAAAAAAAAAAAAAGAAAGAAAGAAAAGAAAAGAAAAAAGGAAGAAAGAAAAAAGGTGCCACAAGGCTAAAATTCTCCCTCTTTGATTTAGATTTTTGTAATGCTTTTATGAATATTTATAACTCTTCATTTGTTTTTGTTCAGGAAACATTTCAAAAACATCTACTATATTCCTACATAATAGTAAACAGATCACTAAAGTGAAAGACAGTTTTTTTTTGCTCATTGCTTATAGTCAAGATGGGGAAACAGACAAGTTCTGTCAAAGACTTATGGTTACCAAAACGTATCTCTTCTCACAATCTGACTAAAATAATGGCAAAATAATTATAAACCTAATGAGAAAGGATATCAGTGTATGAGAACATTCAGCAGCGTTTGAAAACTGGTAGAAGAATGATAACTGATTTAGCAACACAAAGGGACCTTCTGCCAGCATGCTTGCGGAGAATAGACAAGAAAAGAGTCTATATACCTTAAAGAACTCTAGAGGGCTTCAAAGTTTGAGTATATGGGACTCGAAATTGGAAAATTGGCTGACAGTCAATATACTTTAATTTTTTTTTTTTTTTTACTGTGGTTCAGGGGATCCAACACGGTCTTTGCATGTGCTAAGCAAGCACTCTACCACTGAGTTATATCCCCAGCTCAACAGTCAGTATACTTTTTTTTTTTTTTAATCTGAAGTCCTATAATACTGGACTGTATTTCCCTTGTAAGTGAGATTTCTCTCTGAGGACAGTAAATAGGGAAGTCTGGATTCAGAGTTAGCAGATTATATGGAAAGCATAAGTAAGATAAAGGGAAGAAAATGAAGATTAATTGGAAGTCTCTACAGAGTGGTCAATCCCCCACATCCCATTCTCCACCCCACTCTTATTCCCTCAACTAAGTGCAGAAGCAGAAAACCAGGTTGTTTTCTGGGGAAATTGAACAACCCCAGAGAAAAGATCTTTTGGGGATCTGCTACTAAAACTTAGCAGTATATCTAGTTATCCCCCACAAAGTGAAGCCTCCAACAGTATCCAAAAAGAAACAAAATAACAGCAACCAAAAAAAAAGGGGGGGGGGAATTGAGGTAGTACAACTAAGAAAATGTCCCCACACTCCCTCATATCTTCTAGATGCGCTTTTCAGAGAGGAAAAAAGATAATATGGATAAAGACAGAAAAGATGCTATAAAATAGAGATGATGAGATAATGGAGTACTTTAAAAAGGAAAATGTAACTGGGCATGGTGTCAGACGCCTGTAATCCCAGTGACTCAGGAAGCTGAGGCAGAATGATCGCAAATTTGAGACCAGCCTCAAGGCCCTAAGCAACTTAGCAAGACCCTGTCTCAAAATATAAAAAAGGTTGGGGATGTGGCTCAGTGGGAAAGTACGCCTGGGTACAATTCTTGGTACCAAAAAATAAAAGTAAATGTAATTGCCAAAATTAAAATAAAAGGAATAAGGGAAAAGAATAAATAAAAATAAAATGTAAGGGAAAAGAATTAGAAGTACATTGTAGAATGCCTAACATTCAACTATAAAATTTTCAGGAAAAAAAAAATACACAAGACAGGAGAGGAGATAAATAATAAAATTTCTCAGAGCTGAAGGACACTTAAGTGCCCAGCATAATGAATGAAAAAAAGGCCCTCACCAGAACATCAGTTACTAAAAATTTTAGACTGCTAAGGATAAGAAGACAAAAGACTTCCAGAGATGAAGTGAAAAAATGAGATATCTGCACATCAACATTTATTATAAAAACCAAATTCTGAGTAGCCTAGAATTCTATACCCAGTTAAGTAAAATATATCAGATGTATGAATCATAAATGTATATCACTGATTTTTACAGAGTGAATTTATCAATAAAGAATATATAGGGCCAGGTGTGGTGGCGCACACCTGTAATCCCAGCAGCTTGGGAGGCTGAGGCAGGAGAATCAAAGCCAGCCTCAGCAAAAGCAAAGCACTAAGCAGCTTAGTGAAATCCTGTTTCTAAATAAAATACAAAATAGGGTTGAGGATGTGGCTCAAGGGCGAGTGTCCCCTGAGTTCAATCCCTGATATCAAAAAACAAAACAAAACAAAAAGAGCATCTAGGGCAATAAGCAGAATTTTATCAGAAACCCCACATGCTTCTCCATTCACTTCTCTGTCCTCATCAAGGATATTGGTTTTCTGTCCTTTAACTCCATAGGTTAAATTTTTCCTGTTTTTGAGGTTTATACAAAAGAAACCATTCAAAATGTTCTGGCTCCTTTCACTCAATGTATGAGTTTATAATTGGTTCATTCTCCCCCACCACCCTGACCCCAGTACTGAGGATTGAACCCAGGGGTATACTTTATTTTTGAACTACACTCCCAGTTCTATTATTTTTTATTTTGAGATAGGGTCTTTCTAAATTGCCTAGGCTGGCTTTGAACTTGAGATCCTCCAGCTTTAGATCCAAAATCACTGGGATTACAGAGATAACATTGGGCCTGGTTTATATTTACCATTTTAGAAATTGGAACTGAGGAATTGTTAAAGCACAATATGCAAGTACCAATTCTAGTAACTATCACAGTAATGACATCACATTATGTAGTCTCTGGAATACCACTGTGTACTTGTGAGAAAAGGAAACTGAAAAAAACGGAAAGATAATATCTGAATGTTATGAAAATAAGTTTTGTCCTACAAAATTCCTGAAAGGGTCTCCTTGGGAGTCATACTTTGGGAATTGGTGCCCTATAGTATTCTATTATATGGATATGTATGATAGTTTAACCATTCTACTGTTCATGGACATTTGGATTATCTCCACTTTTATCTGTTGCAAATAATGCTGCTTTGGAACATTCTTAGGTCACATAAGTCTTTTAGTTTGAACATCTATAAATATATACCTAAAAATGAAATTGCTATGTTATCAGTTCAGTGGTGATTTTGAGGAATTGCTATGAAATTTAGGTGAGATTATCTCAGGATTTTGGGGCTCTCTCTCTCTAGAAATCAAGAAAAAGACCTAGATTGTATATTGCAATTTGTGAATCCTTAATGACAGTGGAACTACTATCATGTGAACAAGATTGTCTAGAGCAGAGTACTTTGCTTTAGAAGACCTGGAACTAAACTTAGGGGCACATCAACATTTACCTGATAAGTATGGAAAAGAAAAGCCTGGAGACTGAGAAAGGAGTGGCCAGGAGACTTAAGACAAAGTTGTTACTGTGGAAAGGTGTAAAACATTGGAAAACAAACTGAGCTGTGTTGGGATAATCTGTTGACTTTGGTGAGTGGATATTCAACAAGAATGCATTGATCCTATCCAGGTGTAAAGTACTGTTCTAGATATGGAGGGGCAGTACAGTGCAGACAAAAATATTCTGGAGCTATTTGGATATATTTATATATAGTGACAGGGATGTGGATGCAGTGAAAAGATAGGACTAGGACCTTTTTCCACTTCCTCAGACTGATGAGCTCCTCCTCATCCTTGAGGGTCCAGCTTTTATGTGAGTCTTTCTCCAGAAAATTAATTTTGTTAGAATTGTTTGTGAGCAATAAAAAGTCACTTCTGAGGAATGGCCTGGGAGCCTCCTGTAAGCTTTTTCTCAGCCCTTTAGATAATTCTGAGATCCTTTTCACAGATTTCTAGATCTCCCAACAACTTTACAGAAGGTCAGGCCTTGTGATGTACAGATAAGTGAGGTTTTTCAGGATTATGTAATGCCTGTTTTTGTCTTTATAGGATAGTGAGCTGTGACTGTTAAGGGGCTGTTGATCCTTTTAAAAGCATAGTTAAGAAAATAGAATTTATTGGGGCTGGACATGTGGCTCAGCGGTAGCGCGCTCGCCTGGCATGCGTGCGGCCCGGGTTCGATCCTCAGCACCACATACCAACAAAGATGTTGTGTCTGCCGAGAACTAAAAAATAAATATTAAAAAAAAATTCTCTCTCTCTCTCTCTCTCTCTGTCTCTGTCTCTCTCTCTCTCTCTCTCCTTTCTCACTCTCTCTTTAAAAAAAAAAAAAGAAAAGAAAATAGAATTTATTAAATGTTTCAAAATCTCATTTTATTCATCTGATTGCTTTGGTAGCCATTCTACAGATTTTGAAGTACACCGCAACTGGCTTGCTATCACTCACAGTTTGCCAATATCACAGTGGTATTATGAGGTAAGTTTTAATTTTCATGTCTTTTATTTCTTTTAAGATGATATGTAAAATCATGTAAATATTATTCATATTAAAACAAGTTTCTGGTGCTAGGAGTATAACTCAGTGATAGATAGTTTGCCTTGTTGACCACCACAAAAAGAAAAGAAAAAATATATTAAAAATAGGGTTTTATACAACATAGATCTAATTAATCTTTATAAAAATTTATTGTGTGGTGGTGCATGCCTATAATCACAACCAACCCAGCAGGCAGAAGCAGGAGATCAGAAGGTCAAGGCCAGCCTCTACAATTTAGCAAGACTAGTCTCAAAATAAAAAGAACCAGGCAGGGCTGGGGTTGTGGCTCAGCGGTAGAGTGCTCGTCTCGCACGCACGGGACCCTAGGTTCAATCCTCAGCACCGTGTAAAAAATAAATGAGTGAAATAAAGGTATTGTGTCCAACTCTTTAAAAAAAAAAAGAGCCAGGCATAGTTGCACATGCCTGTAATCCAAGTAACTTGCAAGGCTGAGGTAGAAGGATCTCAGGTTCAAGGCTAGCCTTGTCAACTTAGTGAAGCCCTAAGCAATTTAGTGAGACCCTGTCTCAAAATGAAAAATAAAAGGCAGTAGGGTGGAGGGCGGCACTGGAGTTGTGGCTCATGGTAGAGCACTTGCCTTGCACATGTGAGGCACTGGGTTTGAACCTCAGCACCACATAAAAATAAAATAAAGATATTGTTTCCACCAACAACTAAAAAAGTATTAAAAAAAAAGAGAGAAAGAGAGATAAAAAGGGCCAAGGATGTGGCTCAGTAGTAAAGCACTCTGGGTTAAATCCCTAGTGCCAAAACCATATGTGAGTGTGTGTGTGTGTGTGTGTGTGTGTGTGTGTATACACACACACACACATACACATTTTATATATATGTTTTTTCCTCAGTTCTGTTCTCTGGAACCATTAGAATCCCCTTACTTCAAAATGAGATTCCCAATCTATAAATTGTGAATTATATCATCTACCTCTCTTTTTTTTTAAGGAACATTGGATTAAGAAAGAAGAAAAATTAAATTCCAGGCCTGGCTCTATTTATATAGACAGAGACAAAATATTTCATGTCTTGGACCACACTCTTTCACCTGRCACATGGGGATTTAGAATGAATCATTTCTAAGATCCTGTCTATCCCTAGTATTTTGTGATTTTATGTGGAAAGGAATAATTAAAGGTGATATGTAGGTATCATGTAATATGCAAATCATTCTCTTCTAATACTTCTAGAAACCACATCTGTGTTTTTATTTCTGGATGAATATCTAAATTGCATGTGGTACTTCATGAAAAACAGACATCATTTTAGAAATATCCTAATCAAAAGCTGTAGTTTGCCATCAGGAAGGACACCCCCCCCCCATTTTTGACAGTACCTGGGATCAAATCCAGGACCTCGCACTGCTAGGCAAGTGTTCTACCCCAGAGCTACATCTCTAAGCCCATCAATAATTTTTAAGTTGAGTTTTCAGAAATAGCTTTTTGAGTTGTTTTGTTTTTGTACTCTGAGCAGTTGTCCTATATGAATAAGTTTATTCTCACATGATAATACTTTATTTCATAGGAATGCTGAGGAACTTTAAATGATTGCATCAGCAAGAGGTATTTCAGTCTGCATGTATGGATACCAACTAGAAGTAGTGTGTAGACTAGTAGTCTAGAACTTGAGTAGTAGCTTCAGACTGCCTGGATTTGACTTTCAGCACTGCTTTTTAATGACTGTGCTGGGTGATGATGGGCAAGATATTTGACCTCTCAAATCCTCAGTGTTCCCGATTATGAAATAATATAAATAATTGTTAAGTTGAAGTGAATAAAACCGTGAAGCACTTAGCACGGTACTTGGAACAAAATGCTCAACAAATATTATTAATCAATTATTAATTAACATCATTAATGTAGTGACTCTCAGCCTATAAATAAAAAGGCAGTCCCCTATCTTGCCATTTTTCCTTTTTTTAAATATTTATATTTTAGTTATAGGTGTACACGATATTTTTATTTTTATGTGATGTTGAGGTCAAACCCAGTGCCCCACGCATGCTAGGCAAGAGCTCCACCTCTGAGCCACAACCCCAGCCCTGCCATTTCTCCCTTTTTGACTGTTCCTTCTCAGTCTCCTTTGCTAACTCTTCTTTATCTGCACACCCCTTAAAAAGCTAGTACTCCCTGGAATTCTTTTTCCTTTAATTCTTTCTGGGTATCCTTTCATTTAGTCCTACAACTTTCGCCACTTCCCATTATCTTAGGACTTCTAAAACTGTATTTGTGCCAAAGGTATCTCCTAAATCTGTTATAGAAGAGGTTTATGCATGTTCTTAGCAACAAAAACCAACAAGAAGCAAAACTCAGTGGTTTGGCAGAGACTCATAGGAGGAGATAAGGCTGGAAAGATATGTGCACTGGATCAGTTAGGGTCTTATATGTCCCAGGAGAGTAGATGTGTGAAGAATGGATTGCTTTATGGAGTTCTTCTTAACTGGCCCCAAATTAAATTGGTCAGTTGGTCAGAAGAGACACCAGAAAGACCCTTAACAGGGCTGGAGTTGAGGCTCAGTGGTAGAGCACTTGCCTAGCATGTGTGAGGCACTGAGTTCTATTCTCACCACCAAAACAAATATATGAATAAAATAAAAGTCCACTGATGTTTAAAAAAAATTTAAAAAAAGAAAAGACTCTTAATAAATAATTGTTAAATGAACACATTTCCTTTGAATCTTTATATGTACAAGTTGTGTGTTCAATATTTGAAGAAATATCTTTGTTGTGGTAATTTCTTCTTCTTTTTTTTAATCTTTATTTTCTTATTTTTATGAAGTTGCTGAGGACTGAACCCAGTGCCTCACACATGCTAGACAGACATTCTACCACTGAGCTACAGCCCTAGCCCCTGCAGTAGCTTCTTGAGCTAATAATGCATTTGGAGTCAGAAGACCCAGATTTGAGTTTGATTTGAGTTTGGTCTCCAGCACCTCTTAGTTAAGTGATTCAGAAGAAATTCTAGCTAAAGCAGCATTGGCTTCCCAAAACTTATTTAGCTAAGAAGATGCCCTTAGATAGCAATCCTTGAGGTTAAGAGGCCTTCTGGGCCTACTTTAGGAAATCTTTGTGTGGATTAGGGGTTATGAACACAGAGTCCCTGAGTAGTGTGAGATGATTAGAAATAGTAAAGAAAGTATAAAACTTTATTTTGAAAAAAGTGACTGTCTCAGGCAGTACAGTGTCCTGATTTTTTTTTTTCGGGGGGGGGGGGTACTGGAGATTGAACCCAAGAGCACTTTGCCACAGAACTATGAACTATATCTCCAACCATTTTTTATTTTTGAAACAGGGTCTGGCTAAGTTCTCAGACTAGGCTTGAATTTAGGAAACTTGCAATGCTTCTACCTTAGCCTTCCTAGCCACTGGGATTATATGCCATGGTGCCAACCCAAATTCTTTTAATGCTTTCCACTTTAAAAATATATAACTATGTCAGTAAAATAAGACTGGAAAAACTTAGACTTCCAATAAAATAAATGATTCTTTAAGAGTAGATTGAGGGCTGGGTTTGTAGCTCAGTGGTAGAGCACTTGCCTAGCATGTGTGAAGCACTGGTTCGATCCTTAGCATCACATAAAAATAAACATATAAAATAAAGGGGTTCTGTCCACTTACAACTACCAAAAAAAAAAAAAAAAAAAAGTAGATTGAAGGACTTCGGACATAGCTTAGTGGTAGAGTTCCTCTTGCTTAGCATTAATGAGGCCCTGAGTTCAATCTCCAGTACCAAAAGTGAAAAAAGAGTAAACCAGGTGTGGTGGCTCATGCCCTTAATCCCAGTGACTCAGGAGGCTAATGCAGGAGGATTGCAGAGGCCATTCTCAGCAACTTTGTGAGGCCCTAAGCAACTTAGTGAGACCCTGTCTCAAGAATAAAAAATAAAAAGGGCTGGAAATATAGCTCAGTGATAAAGCACCCCTGGATTCAATCCCCAATACCAAAAACAGAAAAAAGTTAAAAAAAAAAAAAAAAGTAGATTGAGGTCTGTCATTTGGAATGTAGCTGGAAACTGCAAATGTTAATGAAATCTAGATATTGTAGACTTCATTAATATTGTAATTTCTTAGAATTACATGAACAGTAATTTCTAAACTTCTTTGGATTGTCCATACCCTATCAAGAAATCATTTTTGAGCATTGTCTATGTAATGTGTCTTTATTTAAAGTTATAAAGGCAATGCTCCATTAATATATAATTAAGATAGAAATTTTGGTGGGAGGTACTGGGGATTGAACTAGGGGTACTCAACCACTGAGCCTCATCCCTAATCCTATTCTGTATTTTATTTGGAGACCGGGTCTCATTGAGTAGCTTGGTGCCTCACTGTTGCTAAGGCTGCTTTGAACTCTCAATCCTTCTGTCTCAGCCTCCCGAGTGGCTGGGATTACAGGCGTGCACCACCACACCCAGCTAAGATAGAATTTTTTTTTAAAATATGTTTTTAGATGTTGTGGACCTTTTCTTTATATGCAGTACTGAGAATTGAACCCAGTGCCTCACACATGCTAGGCAAGTGTTCTACCACTGAGCCACAACTCCAGCCCCTAAGATAGAAATTTTTAAAGGATGAGACTAAAACATAAAGTTTCTAATTTTTCTTTAGTTCAGTGGCCTATTTTGTTTACACCCCACATTGGAGACAGAGAAGGATATTTCATGAAGTAGAACTTAATGGATGGGTTCATAGCGTGAATGCTCTGACAGAGCTCCTCTGGTTTGCCTTAGCTTATCTGTCTTCTCATTTTACTCCTACAGTGGGGAGCAAACAGATTAGGACTAAAGTTTCATTTATCCTCATTGTGAGCAGAGGGCCTGGCTGGGCGTACATGAGGCCCTAGGTTCAATCCCAGCACCATGATAACCAAATAAAGGTCTGGGGTTGTAGCTCAGTGGTAGAATGTTTGTCTAGCACATGTGAGGCACTG